AAGCAGTTTGCGTGAAACATCCTGTTCCAGTGCAAACTCTTCCGCGGAGACCCAAACCAGATCACCGACGCGGATGGGACATGGTACGCGACGCCTGTTGGCTTGTTGCTGCATGCGGACTTGAGCCTTTTGCATATTTGCGCGGGCTTGAGTCAACAATTCCCTGTACTTCCGGATGGAAGCGGGAGAGCAGGCAGCGTCAATGTTGGCTGGTCGAGGGAGGAGAAGGTCTGCGAAGATCCGACCTTTCCGTCCACCGTGGTGCAACTCGATGGAGTCACGCCGATCGCCGGATGCACCGAAGTGTTGTAGGCGAACTCGATGTCGGGGAGGCGGTCAACCCAATCTTTCTGGTCCGGACGGATGAGCGTACGAAGCATCATTTGAGCGGTCTGATGTGCCCGCTCCGTCTGCCCGTCTGTCTAAGGATGTCGAGCCGAACTTGGTTTCATTGTTGTGTCGGACTCCTGCATGAGAGCAGTCCAAAACGCCGACATGAAACGAGTGTCGCGGTCGCTGACAATGTGTTCTGGTACACCGTGGCCACAAATCCAACCAGTGTGCAGGAGGCGTGCCAGCTCGGGAGCCGTGGAGTAGTACTTGCAAGGGAGAAAACGCGCGTACTTACTCAATCGGTCCACCAACGTGAGGATGCCGTCGTGCCCGAGCCGGTCGCGAGGAAACGGACCAGTGACGTCCATGGCAATGGAGATACCGGGTTCCCGTGGGATAGGCATCGGGTGTAACTCACCGTAGGGATTGCGGTTGCAGGGCTTGCTGCGTCGACAAACTTCGCAAGAGTCGCAATACCGAGTGACATCGGTAATGAGGTCGGGYCATCGGAATCGCTGTCGAAGCCGTGCAATAGTGCGGTTGACTCCTAAATGGCCGGCGAGTCGTGAATCATGATACTCGCCGAGGAGGCGAGTCCGAAGACGACGGTCGCGTGGGACACATAGTAAGTCCTTGCCTCTCGAGTGGAGGAGCAAGTACCCGTCGGCAATGCGATATTGGCTGGCCGGCGGGTTATCCGAAGATAGTTGCGCATACAACGTGGCGAAGTCCGGATCAGACTCATAGCCCCGGATGAAGTGTCGCTGGAGTTCCTCGTCAAATGCGAAAGCATGATGTGTCATAGCGCAAAGATCAGGTCTTTGTGAGAGTGCATCTGCTGCGCGATTGGAGAGGCCGGGATCATGTTTCGGTGTGAAGTCAAATTGGTCGATGAAGTACATCCATCGTCCGATCGTGCTGCTCACCGTGTCCTGCGTCTTGTAGTAGGTCAATGGATTGTTGTCTGTGACCCATGTGAGCCTACGATGCCCAAGGAGGAAGTGCCGCCAGTGCTTGAGAGCCATCACGAATGCGAGCAGCTCCTTCTTCCTTGCATCATCAAGCGAGTAGATGGGAGGCACTTTGTGGCTGAAATACTCCACAGGGTGCCAGTCGCCGCCGTCGTGTTGTTCCAAGACTGCCCCAATGCCATAGCCGGAAGCGTCCGTAGTCACTTGCGTCGGCAGGGTGGGGTCATAGATGCTAAGGACGGGTGCCAGGAGCATAGCCGTCTTAAGTGCTTGGAATGACTGGCGTGCGTCGTCATCGAATACGAATGGCACCTTTGGCGACTGTAACCTCGTCATAGGTGCAGCAATCCTGGAGTATCCGGTGATGAATCGCTGATAGTAGCCCG